GGGCATAGAGGAGGACACTTATGGGGATGAGCACTGAGTGTTATGTGGAAACTAATTTGACAATAAACTATTTGTAAAAAAAAAAAAAAAAAAGATTTTTCACAAATTGTAAATTCAAATAAAATTTGAGTTTTTAAAAAAAAAAAAAAAAAAAGAACATCAGGAAAACTCACCCAAGCATAAGACAGCCTTCAAGAGATGGATACAGGGTATAGTGATTTGGAGTAGGGTGGAAATTTTCCACCTCAGAGCCACCCAAATCTCAATGTCACTCACCCTGGAGAACACGCCTCCTCAGTATGTCCCACCGGGAGTTGGGGAAACACCCAAGTCCAAAGAGCCACTGTATTATGGGAATCTTTACAGTTTGGGAGATGACCCTCTGTAATGTTTTAATAAAGGAACATTTTAAACCTCCCTAAGCCTCAGAACCCTCATCTGTAAAATGTGGATAATAAAGTACCTAACCACAAATTACTTAATTTAGGAGCTGGCACATCGGATGCAGTTAATGAACAGCTGCTTTTACTATAGTCCACGTCCCAAATGGCCCCTTCTCAGTCTGCAGATGTTATGGATGACGTCCACAGAGGGGGTACTTCTTGGAAACCGTGCTGCTAAAACACTTGCTTGTAAAATATTTGTGTTCCAGTTTATTGAATCTGACTGCCAGGCCCTTTGCTTTGACTTAAACTATGGCATGATGTTTGGAACAATTCATGCTCTTTTACCCTCCATTTCAGGAGCACTCAAGAGTGGACTCAAGAATGGAAAGAATGCCCTGATTATGTCTCTGCTGGAGCAAACAGCTGTTACTTTAATTCATCTTATACCTCCATTTGGATACCCTACTGTATCAAGCTAACCAGCAATGGTGGTACAGTGGATCAAAAGTGTTTCTCTGTTGAGGAAATAGGTAAATCACAGGTTTGTGTTTTATTTGACATGGCTTTAGATTAAATAAGCAGGGAAGTCTCAATGTCCAAGTGTGTTCAAGGAGGAAGACTTTGTCATTATAATCTAGGTGAATGGAGGTCTGCTTTACAAGGCACAATATCAGCCAGAGATAGGGAGAGAGAGAGAAGGCAGGGTTGGGGCGGGGGTGGGGGGACACTTAAGTTGGTTCTACCATACAATGACCTGGCAGTAAATGTTGTTGAGAAAAGAATGGGAACCTTCCAGAGTCTTTTCCTTGAGGAGGTCTTTAAAGCTGAATCATGTTCTTGGGTGCTACCCCAAGAGACAAACTCCGTGTACTCCCATGATTCCTTCTTTCCCAATTATTCAATATGATTATTATATTCAGATCTGAAATATGTTGACCTTTGATTCCTATCATTGCTATAATCAAAGCCCAGATTTTCTTTATCACAGGGCATAATAATTCTGAAACTTTATATTTACAAAACAGCCCCAAATCGGTTTAAAGACATGTTTATAAGACCTCAAGACAAACACTGGAGATAATCAGCTCAGTGAACTAAATGAAAGATCTAGACAGATTATCCCTTGCTTATCATGTGGACACAAGGGGGAATGAAACAAACAACTGTAATTGGAATATTTATGTTTATACTATAATGGTGTAAGCAACAAAATATAAAGAACCAAAGAAGAACTTTAGGTAGCTGACATTGGTGCCTCAGAATCTATCCACAAAGGCTCATTTATTACAGAAATTTCTCAGAGCTTCTCTGAGATGTGCTGTTCTTACACAGCTTGTGGTTTCTCAGGCATCAGCAGACTGGAAGAGGTTAAGGGAATGTGGCTAGAAGCTGGAGGCAGAAACAAGTAAATCTGATAGCCTGTCAGGGAGAAGAACAAGCAGAAAAGAGAACCCAACTGCTTGACTTGGAGAGGCTATTCAGCATATGCCCCAATGTCAATAGGTGTACCTGTTGAGTGGCTAAATAGGTAGTAGTAGAATATTGGGTCAAGACCCATGTTCCCATCCTGTCCCACTCAGCAGTGAAGGCTGACCTTCACTGAGGGTCTGCCAAGCTCCAAACACTGTGCTGGGTGTGGTGGCTACAGAATGAGTAGGATATTGTTAAATAGGGGAGTCAGATGTGTCAAATAACCACAGTACTATGTCTTAGGTGCTGGACTCAAGGTGTGTGGAGTGCATAGTAAGCTGAGGAAGCGGCCAAAGATACAAATGACTGACTGGGCCTGAGGGATGAGAAAGGGCAGCCCAGAAATGGTGGCAGTTCACTTACGTCTTAAAGCATCAGTGAGAGTTGCCAGGTATACAAGCTAGACGGTGTCTTCCAACAACTACCAACTTCCAAAACTGACAAACAGCACAAAATATTGAAGGACTAAGAGGAATCATAAGTGTTCTTATGTACCCCACAAAGGAATTTAGACTGTATCTTACTGCCCAGAGACACATTTAAAGATAACTTTAAGGAGCGCCTGGGTGGCTTAGTTGGTTAAGCGTCCGACTTTCGCTTAGGTCATGATCTCGCGGTTCGTGGGTTCGAGCCCTGCGTCGGGCTCTGTGCTGACTGCCAGCTCAGAGCCTGGAGCCTGTTTCAGTCTGTGACTCCCTCTCTCTCTGACCCTCCCCTGCTCACACTCTCTCTCTCTCTCTCCTAGAAATAAATAAAACATTAAAAAAAAAAAAAGATAACTTTAAGAAGGAAAATGACCTGAGGATACTAATAGCCAACTAACACTTACAAAGCCCTTACTTATGGGTCGGTCATAATAACCATGTGGGATAGATTCTGTTATAATCCCCATTTTACAGATGATGAAACTGAGGCTCAGGGCCTTTAAAGGCTAACTCAAGGCCAAACAGCCAGTAGGCATAGCTGAAATTTGAACCTATGCAGCATGGCTCCAGAGTCCACGTTCCTAATCTCAAAGTTATACAGTGCCACCTGTCACATTACGAATGTCTCAGGGAAATTTGTCCTGCAGTGGAGAGGGTAGATTAGAGTAGCACAGACCAGAGATAAACGTTAGAAGTCTTTGTGATAATCAAGGCAGAAGATGATGACAGGTATTACAACCATAGCATGGAGGGAGGGAGCTGAGAAAGGGAGACAGCAAGGAATGAGGTGGACTTGATAGATCTTAAAATGACAACCACGGGCCTCCGCTTCCTCACCTATTATGAGAGTATTCTACTACCTCACAGGGCTTGTCTTTGGATTTAAAATACTGTGTTATTAGACATTTGTTGTTCACTCATTCAGCAAATATTGATTGAGCCTTTTCCTTGGGCCAAGTACATTTCTAGGTGCCAGGAGAATAAAATGTCTGCCCTCATGAGATCTGATCCCAGTGAGTGTGGAAAGAGACAAGGCTATGAAGAAAAATAACAGAGAAGGAGAAGAGGAGCACAGGAGAGGCTGCAATTTTAATAGACTTATCAGAGCTGGCTTTGCTGGGTAAAGGAAAAAAAATGAGAGAACAGTGTGTCCACCTGAGGTAAAGGATACTCAACAAGAGGGCACAGCTAGGGTAAAGCTCCTATGGCGGGAGCTTGCCTTTGTTCACTTGAGGAACAGCATGGTGGGGAGGGAGCTGCCCACAGGGTGAGCCAGGAGGGGCATGGAGCAGGCCACATCTGAGGGGCCTGAGAGGCAAAGCTACGGTACCCGTGAAGCCCCTGAATGACTTTGGCTTTCACTTGAAGTGAGATAGGAAGGCTTTGGAGAGTTTTATGTAAGTGATATGCTCTAACTCAAGTGTGAAAATAACCACTGAGACAAGTGTATGGAGGGCTGTTTTGAGAATAGACTGAAGGAAAACCAAGACCAGGCGCCTGGGTGGCTCAGTCTGTTAAGCGTCTGACTCCTGATTTCAGCTCAGGTCATGATCTCACGTTCATGAGATCAAGCCCCATGTGCTATCAGCACAGAGACTGCTTGGGATTCTCTCTCTCTCTGTCCCTCCCCTGTACTCACTCTCTCTCACTCAAAAAATACGCAAATTTTAAAAACAAGGACAATGATGACAGGAGGAGACCATTTAGGAGGCTGATGGGCAGCATGGGCAAAAAACCATAGCGGCAGGACTGAGTTGTAGAGGTGCAGGTGATGAGCAGTGGTTGGGCTCTGGGACTGTCTTGAAAGACAGCTGACAGAATATGGGGGTGGTACGGGAGGGGTGAGTCCAGGAAGAGCCTACTAACTTCATCCTGAGCGGCTGGAGGAATGGAAGCACCACTAACAGAGAGAGGGAAAGGGACAGGAAGGCACATTCTGGGGAGAGGACCAGGACTGCCTGGAATATACTCTGTCTCAGGGGCTTTTCCAACATCTCGGAAGACCTGGCTGAGTACAACATGTGGAAGTATGAATGGAGGCAAAGGAGAGGTTATTATTATGCTTATAACAGTGGTATGGGCCGGCTCAAAAAAAGACCGTGTTCAGGGCACCTGGGTGGCTCAGTCAGTTAGGCCTCCAACTTTGGCTCAGGTCATGATCTCACAGTTTGTGAGTTCGAGCCCTGCCATCAGGCTCTGTGCTGACAGCTCAGAGCCTAGAGCCTGCTTCAGATTCTCTCTCTGCCTCTCCCCTGCTCATGCTTTCTCTCTCTCTTTCAAAACAATGAACATTAAAAAATTTTTTAGGATAGTTGGATTAGGAGGAAGCTAACGGAGGACCATGGTGGGAAAGAAGGGGAAAAATAGTTGGGGAGAGGGAGGGAGGCAAACCATGAGAGACCCTTGAATGCTGAGAACAAACTGAAGGCTGATGGGGGTGGGGGGAAGGGGAAGAGGGAGATGGGCTTGGAGGAGGGCCCTTGTTGGGATGAGCACTGGGTGTTATATGGAAACCAACTTGACAATAAACTATTTAAGAAAAAAAAAATTTTTTTAAAGACCATGTTCCATGCCTTCTATTTAAAGTAGAAAGGGTGATAAGTAATAAGTTGAAATTTTTCCATAAAGACAGTTTTAAATTTTGGCCTCTTAAAGTGTTAAGCTTCGGCTATCAGAATTCCTCAGTCCCCAACAAATCCAGAAGAGAGAAGCATTACTGTCATTACTGTAGCCATGTGTAGCTCAGCTATGTTGCAATTCCCTCCAATTTAACTTCTAAAATATGCTCATTATGGGGCGCCTGGGTGGCTTAGTCGGTTAAGCGTCCGACTTTCGCTTAGGTCATGATCTCGCGGTTCGTGGGTTCGAGCCCCGCGTCGGGCTCTGTGCTGACTGCCAGCTCAGAGCCTGGAGCCTGTTTCAGAGTCTGTGTCTCCCTCTCTCTCTGACCCTCCCCTGCTCACGCTCTCTCTCTCTCCTAGAAATAAAAAAATTTTAAAAAAAAATAATAAATAAAATAAAATATGCTCATTATTAGTCAAATTTGGGTTCTCTAATTTTTTTAAGTTGTGTGCACTCTGCGGGAGGCCAATACCATGCTCCTTCCCAGTGAAGTCTGTTTTAACTCTGGTTGAATGCAAGGGCTTCCCCTCTCATATCTGCTGTGTTGGTTGTGATCTCTCCTCTTTCATTCTTGATTTTATTTATTTGGGTCCTTTCCTTCTTCTTTTTGATCAAACCGGGTAGGGGGTTATCAGTTTTGTTCATTCTTTCATAGAACCAGCTTCTGGTTTCATTGATCTCTTCTACTGTGTTTTGGGTTTCAATAGCATTGATTTCTGCTCTAATCTTTATTATTTCCTGTCTTATGCTGGTTTGGGGTTTTATTTGCTGTTCTTTTCCCAGCTCTTAAAGGTGTAAGGTTAGGTTGTATAGCTGAGACCTTTCTTCCTTCTTCAGGAAGGCCTGGATTGCTATACACTTCCCTCTTATGACTGCCTTTACTGCATCCCAAAGATTTGGGGCTATCATTTTCATTGGCTTCCATGTACCTTTTAATTTCCTCCTTAACCTCTTGGTTAGCCCATTCATTCTTTAACAGAATAGTCTTTAGTCTCCCAAGTATTTGTTATCTTTCCACATTTTTTTCTTGTGGCTGACTTTGCAACACTCGAGGTACCCTCCTACAAACAGTAGGAGAAAAGAAAGTAAATTTTACTCTGTATCTGCAAGTGATTTTTGAAAACCTCAGTATTGAGACATGAAGTGCAATAATTTATTGGGAGCTATCTAGAATGTAAATTTAGATATGTTCCTAGCTTTGGAATCCGTATTTCTCTTCATCAGTATTTGGGAAATTGCGCTTTTTGCAGTCCTAATAAGCAGGATACAGCCAATTTACCGGAGAATATACAGTATGTCAGTAGAAACCAAGCAAAACACTATTTCAGATTGTTCACATGCAGTTAAGTAAAAGACAGAAAACCCTGACTCATCACCATTTGAGAGTAGAGAACGATGCCATCCTTCTTATGTCTGAAAAGAATCATGACGTGTGGTTAGGAAGACAACAAACTAAGGAGCATGTGCTGAGTGCTTGGGAGGATTGTTCTGGTAGCCGTACAGATGTTAATAAGATAAAACCCTTGCCACAGGTAATAAGCAATTTGGAATAAAAAAGATTTTTTGATACCTACTTCCAAAACAGCCCCATGTTTAAATGCTGTAGGTCTTTTTGAGTCTGTTCCTTCAATTTTTAGTTATAATGAATTCCTTTGCCAAAATCCCAAAGCATTAATCCTGTCAGGGCTAAAAGGAATGTAAGACACAGCCTGATCCTCAAGAAAAGTTTTAGATCAGGTTTTAGACTTGAAAAGGAAATTTTTGTAGGGGTTTTCTTCAAAGCATTAAAACAAAGCGTTAAAAACAAAGCATACTCAAGTCAAAAAAAAAATGGTACCCACTTATAAAATGAGAGTATAAGAAGAATATTGGAAGAATTAGGAGTGTGAACAACAAAATTGCATCAAGTAATGGGTCTCTTCAGAAGAAAACACTCCGTTAAAAGCAAGCTGTACCTGCATGTCTCTCTGTTCACTAACTCTGTTGAAACTCACAGTGCAACCAGATCCACCCATTGGCCTCAACTGGACTTTACTGAACATCAGTTTAACGGGGATTCATGCAGACATCCAGGTGAGATGGGAACCACCGCCCAATGCGGATGTTCAGAAGGGATGGATAGTCCTGGAGTATGAACTGCAATACAAAGAAGTAAATGAGTCCCAGTGGAAAATGGTAAGATATCATGACGTATCACACTTAACAATATTTTGGCTTCTCTTCTGTTTATACCAACAACACCTCTCTCATTGATAATTAGGCTCCCTTTTGACTTAATATCACATGCCCATGCTATATACTCCATATTTTCTTAGTTGAGGAAAACAGATATAATCTGTAAAATATCATCTTGGAATTCTGTCCCTCAGCACCTGCTGACATGGAGCTTATACAGAAGCCTATGGAAAGAAAGGAAAACTATTGCCGCATTCATCTTCAGCGTTCAGCTTATCCTTAGAACAAAATTATATACTCTAGCTACTTAAGCTGTCTTTGTGGATGTGGCTAAACGTGAGAAGAGTTATGATCAAGGCCAATAGTGAGCTATGGCTACACATTCTCCCTGATTTTAGTTGCTACTGCTCACAAGACACCCCCCCCCATTAAGTTCTTAAGTGACCTCAAGAAGGGAAGCAGAGAAAGGGAATTTGTCCCCCTAGAGGTTTCAGAAGGATGTTTTGTTACAAACCTTGGGGGACAATCAAGCTGAGAGGTCTGTATGTAGGCGAGTAACATGGTAGTAGTTGACCTCTGAACTCCATATCTCCTTGACAAATTCATGAGAACTGGGCACTTAGATAAATTCCACATGGCACACAACAAGGAGAAAAACGGGATTATCTTGCTGCTCCCAGTATAACTAATTCTAAATCAGTCTAGCCACAGCCGCAGCCCTGGCCAAGCCCACTGGTTTCTGGCCAGTCATCAGGTCGTGCCCAGTGGCCTGACAGATTCATTTCCAAACTTTTGAGACACTAGGCCTTGTCCATTCCATGTTCTGCTGACAAAGAAGCCAGTTTTGTCATTAAAGTTAAGTTTGGAGCAGCTGTGAACAGGTAAATACTGGGCTTTGAGGTACAGTTTTCAGAATCATTTTAATTTAGATATCCGTTCCATTAACTTGGTGCAAAAAAAAAAAAAAAAAAAAGCCTGGTTGGATGCAGAGTCAAATAAGACTTTCTAAATTCAAGTTTCGGTCAAACATTTATTCCACAACCAGATAATGAAATAACCACCCCGCACAAGGCACTGCACTCTGTAGTCCAGAGCAGAGGTTCTCCGAGTGTGAACTGTGGACCCCTGAGGGTCTCTGAGAACCTTGAAGGGCTTCCACAAGGTCAAGACTGTCTTCCTATTAATGCTAAAATGTTCTTGCCTTTTTTCACCATATTGAGATTTGCAGCGATGGTGCAAAAGCAATGGTGGGAAGCCTGCCATCACCTGACCAAAAGTCAAGGTGGTCGTTGTAAACCGCACTGGCTGGGTCACCGTGCGCTCACAGTCATCGAGAGGGGAGAGCCAGCTTCATGTCCTTGATGAAGCTGCACATTTTATTAATTTTTTAATAAATTTTTTTATTTTTAATAATTTTATTAATTTTATTAAATCTCAACCATTGACGACATAGCTTTTTAAATTTTTTTAATGTTTTGTTTATTTTTGAGAAGGAGAGACAGAGTACGAGCAGGGGAGGGGCAGAGAGAGAGAAACAGAATCCAAAGTAGGCTCCAGGCTCTGAGCTGTCAGCACAAAGCCTGACACGGGGCTCAAACTCACCAACCGTGGGTCATGACCTGAATCAAAGTCAACGCTTAACTGACTGAGCCACAAAGGCACCACTGATGACATAGCTTTTTAATATTCTGTGTGACACGTTCAAGTACACATAACGCACTTATGCTGCACACTGAGCTCCCCATAGCTGTCTTAATAAAGTAAAGTTGCTAGCCGAGTCAGCTACATTTTGCATGGAATGCCATGTTTGCTTGAAAGAACAACCGATAATCCGACAGTTTTTCATAGTGGCATTGGCAAGTATTTGGCAAACATTTCTTGGAAAAGAATGAAGTGTGCTTATCAGTTCAAGAAAAACGGTGGATGGTAGTTGTTACCAATGATATTTGAACTTTCAAAGGAAAATTAGAATTTTGGGAAAATTGCATCTGCAGCAGTGAGCCTGATAGCTTTCCCAATCTTTGAAGACTTTCCTGATGCCATCGATGGTGACATTAGCCAAAGTGATTTTTCATACTGTATAATAAAATGTGTGAAACATTCAGATAATTTGCATAACTTAATGAATCAGTATTTTCCAAATGACCAATACATGATGTAACCAAAATCATGCATGGGAAGATGATCTGTTCCAAGTGCTAGATGGAAAGGTGGATTTTCATGGTAGCAAGGGAGGAAAGAATCACGGATACAATTTAAGATTCTACATTGCAACTAACCTTGAAGGAACTTCCATATGTTACTATCCTAGTTGTAGTCCTATCTGACTGGACTGAGGTAACATCCCCCAAGCAGATCTTATGCCTCTGGTGTTTAATGTGTCTCATCCATTCTTCACAGTGGAGCCAGAGCGATCATTCTAAAACACTCCCTTGCTTAACATTCTTTTAATAGACACTCAAAAAATGCACTTAAAATCCACTTTTTACTTGTATGATTCTGTGAGTTTTGAAAATTCCATAGAGCTTTGTCATTATCACCACAATCAGGATACAGAACAACTTATCATAACCTTCAAAAAATTTCCTCATGCTGTCCCTTTGAAGTCCAATTCTCCCAAAACCCTAATCCTTGGCAACTACTGATCTGCTCATCTCTGTAGTTTTGCCTTTTCCAGAAAGTCATAAAAATAGAATTTATATATAAGCAGTAACCTTCTGATTATGGCTTCTTTCACTCCTCATAATGCATATGAGATTCATTCATTTTGCTAAGTGTAACATTTCCTTTTATTGCTGAGGTTATTTCAGTGTACTGTAAAACTGCTCATGCTCACTTTATTTGACATGATGGTTGTGAGTATTTAAAAAAATCCATTTGGTGGAAGCTAGTTGGAAAATAGTAACAGATTAATGTCGACACATGAGGGCACTTAGTACAGTGGTTCCTCCCTCACCTCATTCCTGTGTTCCACATGTGTACATCCAAATGTCTCCTGGACATATCCACTGGGATGCCTCACTGGCATCTCAAAAAAACAACATGTCAAACTTCCTGCTACCTCCCCAGTCTCCCCCTCTCAGTAAATAACACCATGTCCATAAAGTTCTTCAAATTTAAACCAGAATATTATCCTGACATCTATCTGTATCTTACTCTTATTCCTTATATCTGAATAATTACCAATTCATATCAATTCATGCTCAAATTATATCATGAACTGGTGTTATTATCAGCTCCTGTAGATTACTGTGTGCCCACTCCTTACCCCACACTAAACCACTTTCCATGGCAGAGAATGATCTTTGCAAAATCCATAGATTACTTTATTAAATAACAAATTTCTCAGATGTCTATCTATAAACATGTCTATAAGTGAATATTTTGCTACTCTCTTTATCCAACAGAAGGTCTCAATTACTCTGAGCTGTCCCCAGCATTATATTTTTCTGCAGGCAATCATATTTTTTTAATTAGCAATGCTTTATTCCTCTCAACAGTAGAAAGAGCATTTTCTTGCTATACATTTTTTCTTTCATAGTTTATTGTCAAGTTGGTTTCCATATAACACCCAGTGCTCATCCCAACAAGTGCCCTCCTCCATGCCCCTCACCCCTCTTCTCCTCCCCAGTCCCCATAAGTGCTCACTTTGTTCTCAGTATTCAAGAGTCTCTCATGGTTAGGCAATCATATTTAATACTGTAGGGTAAGATGTGCCAACGAGCATTTTTTTCAAAATTAATATTTCTTAGAAACTTAAAAAAAAACTATCACTTATTGAGTTTTGGTATTAGTGTTCAAGAAGAAAATCCACGTGGACTGGCTGGCTCAGTCGATAACTCTTGATCTCAGGGTTGTAAGTTCAAGTGAAGTTGGGTAAGCAGATTACTTTAAAATAAAATATTTTAAAAAGAATACCCACAGTTACCTGAAAAGGCTATTAAATATCCCTTCTTTTTCTCACTATATGTCTGTGTGAGACCAGATTTTATTCACGCATTTCAACCAAACACATAAGATTTAACGCAAATTTAATACAGAAGCATGTGTAGCTCCTTTTCTCTGCCATCATGGTGTGTGCGGTTGACTGTTCCTCGCCATGTCTTCTCACAAAACTTTCATCCAAGAAACAAAAGTAGAATCATCCCATCCCCCAGTGGATTTAGATGAAAACTGGTAATAAAATCAGGTAGAACTCCAAAAGGAGGCATTGGAGAAGAACCACACTGGGTCTGTAAGGGATCACACATAAGATGATACACATATTTATGTTGCATGAAGGTCGTGGGTTCCATTCCTCTTACTCTGTAAACATGACCACTACCTGAACAATAGACATGTTTTATTGAGGAAATGATTTTTCTCTGTTACTATGCTTCTGCACAAGTAGATTGGTTGGTAATAAATATATGAGGCCTTTTGTTTGAAAAAACAGAATATAGAAGTGGATGTAAAAATACCACCATCTTGTATTAAGAAAGCCATCAGGGATTTTTAAAAATGTAAAACAAAGTCATTCTTCTCATTATAATTCTGTTGTTTTGCAAAGTATAATAATTTTTATAAAAATCAGTATTATTTTTAAAATTTCTTAGTTTCAATTTCTAATATGGTAAATAGTGATAACCATAACCCAAATAAACCAAAACCTTTAGGATCCTCAGTAATTTTTAAGAGTATAAAGGAGTCCTGAAACAAAAAGTTTGACAATCTACAAAAAGCAAAGATGTGAATCCATGCATTAGCATTCTTAGATTTACTAATTATAGTTTCAACCCTGAAAGTCCAGTGCATATAGTTGTACATCAGTTGATGCACAGATATGAAACTCACACTCTGAGCCAGGGACATGGGAGCATGGGACTCAGTCAATTGACCATTCAGGGCTATATCCCAGCTTAGCTTGGTTTCACTTTTAATGGCATCTCTGCTCAATCTCATAAGATGGTCCAAAGGGGTCAGTTAAATTTTACTTCACTTATGTTTTATAAGTGAAGTCATATACTCATGGTATTTTTTACAAGGGTCTCAAACAAAGTCATGAATACCAAGGGTTTTCATGACTGAGTTGGGGACTCAGTCAGTTAAGCATCTGACTCTTGTTTCCTGCTCAGGTTATGATATCACAGTTTATGGGATTGAGCCCCATATCAGCCTCTGTGCTGAAGCATGGAGACTGCTTGGGATTCTCTCTCTCTCACCCCCTGTCTCTCTGCCCCTCCCCCACTCTCTTCTTCTCTCTCTCAAGATAAATAAATAAACCTTTAAAAAAAGAGAAAGAATTGACCTCTGCTAAAGAAACTCACAATCTAATTGGTTATGAGCACAAATGCCATAATCATAAAAACAAGTGAGATTTGGAGGCACCTGGGTGGCTCAGTCAGTTAAGGAACCGACCTTGGCTCAAGTCATGGTCTTGTGGTCTGTGGGTTCAAGCCCTGCATCGGGCTCTGTGCTGACACCCCAGAGCCTGAAGCCTGCTTCAGATTCTGTGCCTTCCTCTCTCTCTGTTCCTCTCCTGCTAGCACTTTGTCTTTCCCTCTCTCAAAAATAAACATTAAAAAAAAGTGAGGTTTGTTAAGTAGAAGGCGGGGAAGTGTTGCTTGTATCAGGAATTCAGGGTACCAATGACAATATTGAATTTTGCCTTTTTTTAAAACTAAATACATTTTGAATATAAAAGTAATAGTCATGACCATGTAGTTGTTTGCAAATGTTTACCTGCTAAATCAAGTTAAGAATTTATGGTTTTGGAGGGGTGCCTGAGTGGCACAGTCAGTTGAATGTCAGACCCTTGGATTCCACTCAGATCATGATCCCAGTGTCATGGGATGGAGCCCTGTGTGAGCCTCCACACTAAGCATGGAGTCTGCTTAAGATTCTCTCTCTCTATCCCTCTGCCCCTCTCCCCTGCTTGCCCCCCCAAATAAATAAAATGTAAAAAAGAATTTATGGTTTTTTTAAAGACTTATGGGTGGCATAGAATTATGCACAATTGTATGGGCCATATCTTGAGCACCGACTATGTACCTGGATTGTGCTGGTCCTTGGAAATGCAAAGGTAATGAAGGCATTGTTTGCTCCAGGGAATTTGCAGTGTAATATAGAAATATGAGCAGTGAAATATAAGAAACAATATCTTCTTATTACTGATTATCTGTCAGGATGGAGTAGGAAAACATGCCAAGAAAGACTTCCTAGGATATCAGCAATACTTGCACTGAGGATTGGCCAAGAATAGGACTTCCCTCAAAGGCAGGTGGCAGAGCTCAGTGCAGGTTGCTGGAGCCAAATTGAGTTGGGTGTGTCTTCTTTAGATGGTTGAGAGAAGATAAAGAGAGAACCATAGGTCAAATCACGGAAGGCCTCTTTTTAGCTTTGTTATTAGTGAAATCTGTAATCTAATAATAACAGAGAAATTAGCTTCAAAACTGGACACATACATTTTTTAAAGTATTTAGGGAAACCAATAAGGTAAATTTAAAATTCAGAAGCTTGCTTGGGGTGCCTGGGTAGCTCAGTCAGTTAAGTGTCCGACTCGGCTCAGGTCATGATCTCACAGTCCATGGGTTCGAGCCCCGCATCGGGCTCTGTGCTGACAGCTCAGAGGCTGGAGACTGCTTCAGATTCTGTGTCTCCCTCTCTCTTTGACCCTCCCCTGCTCATGCTGTCTCTGTCTCCCAAGAATAAATAAACATTAAAAATTTTTTTAATAAAATAAAATTCAGAAGCTTGCCTTTAAAAATGCACTTTAGGCATGCAAATATATCACATATTAAAAAGCTTCAAAAAAGATACAAACTAACCATCCCATGTACACATGGGAAAAACAATAGGGACTTTGTGAGTAGAAACTTACTGAGGTGAAAGGAAATTCATTGTAGAAGCTGCAGGCCCATACTCTAACAAATTATGAGAATCTTTTTAATGTGAAAAATCCATGCTGTTGAAAATGTAAGTGTTCCTAATTTTCTACAAATGGTAACAAGGTGTTCTGTCTGAAAACACATGAAAAGCACATATTGAATACCTGCTTTGAGTATTTAACTTGAAGGAAAACAGCAACATTAGTTGGGTCTATTTCTTTGATAGCTTTGTGTCTTAAAAGTCTAATAGACTTACTGCCCTTCCCCAGGAAGGTAAAAGAAGGGTTGTGGGACCTTGATTTTTATTACCAAGGACTCTAGCAACATGTCTTTGCAAATTTTGAATAGCAAACCATTTGAGGTACTTTTAGCCTTCTAGAATAAGCAGAATCGGTATGTAGTTGCTTCTAATAGAATAATTGAGACAACTGTGATTTTTCTAGAACCATTTCCAATTCTGTTATCTTACAAGTGACTACCTAGAATTTCCAAAGAACAAACTGTGTGTGTGTGTGTGTGTGTGTGTGTGTGTGTGTGTGTTTGATTATAATTTGTTTTCGTGTGGAAATAATGGGTTTTTTTCTGTTTATGTCTTCATGCAAAACTGTGATATCCCAAAGGGTAGACAACATATCTGTAGTTTTCTTTATAGTTCCACATCTCCACAATTCTATCATGCTGTGATTGTATAGAATATCTGACAGCCTAGTATAAAGGTGGAGCTGCATTTCTATAAACAAGCCTATTATTTCTTTGGGTTTATACTGAAATAGCTTCGAGAACTGTGATCCGTGTAACAAAATGTTTCTTTAAAAGTTACTTGCTTTGATCTTCCTTTAAGTAGCAAACTCCCCCAGTGCTACTTCACAGAAATTCATTTTGAGTACAAATGCAGAAACACTTTATAGAGTTTATTGCATTGAGCTGTTGTGTCACTAACCAATAAGTTTTATATTTTGTCTTGAAAGATGGATCCTGTATTGTCAACATCCGTCCCAGTTTACTCATTGAGACTGGATAAAGAATATGAAGTGCGTGTGAGATCCAGACAACGGAACTCTGAAAAATATGGCGAGTTCAGTGAGGTGCTCTATGTAACACTTCCTCAGATGAGCCCATTTGCATGTGAAGAAGGTAAAAGATGTAAAATGCCAGCCAACACGGCTATTATCAATGTGGTAATGTTGTTCAGATCACGATCCGTTAGCTTTTTTTTTTTTTTTTTTACAAATAGTTTATTGTCAAATTAGTTTCCACATAACACTCAGTGCTCATCCCCACAAGTGTCCTCCTCCATGCCCATCCCCCCCTCCCCTCCCCCCCACATCCATCAGTCCTCAGTTTTTGTCAGCATTCAAGAGTCTCTCATGGTACAATCCGTTAGCTTTAAATGTCAGGGTGAGAGACCTCAAGTTCACAATCTGTAACAGATATTACTCGTTAGAGAAGGGGAAGGAGATCTTACTTTTTGGATTATTTAATTCAGGAAATGTCCTGGGGTAGTTGTGAGTTAAGATATTAATGGGGGATATCTCTGAATATCAAAATTTCAGATGATTCTTTTCTTTATATGTTTATATATTTCTAAAATTTTCCATAATGAGTTTGTCTTGCATTTATACTCAGAAAAAAATGTTTTTTTCAAATATATAATGAAGAAATACTGTATCTATATGGGTGGATGGATATGTGGCATCTGAAAGAAAGCTTATTATTGTCTCAGCATAGGTTGCCAATGCCAGCTGCTTAGTGGTTTTAGAAAATATGGTGTTTCCATGGCTTTCACCTGGGGAAAGGCTTAATAGGTAGCATGCTAGTTATGTGCAAGAATAACATGGAACATTTGAGATCCTATACAAGAAAAATACAAAGATAATGCAAGTTCCAAGAAATGAGATCTATGAATTCAAAATAAAAGAATTAAAACTTTTGATACAGAAATAAGTCTGCTTAATAATGAACAATAAGTATATAACATTATCACTCCCACATGGGAATTAGCTATAGTGTATCTACAGTTGAATACAGAGGGTTTACAGGGCTATGTGTGAGGAGATGAAGTTTGGTAATGAAACAATCACAAACAATATAGAAATTAAATTTATATTTCTGCATTAATGGTACAAGTAAAATCCCATGATACTAAATAGCACTTAAATGAAAATGCCTGTAGCACTATTTTTTTCTAAGTTCTAGTTAAAAAGCTTATTATTTTACATAATACTTGACATAATGAAATTTTGGTTTAGAAAATAAATTAGCCACACATCCTTTAAGTTTATTGTGATACCATTGAATTCAATTAGCATAGAGTTTTTTAGCTGGTTTTTCTTCCAAAAATGTTTTCCTTAAAAAAAATGAAGTTCTAGCTTTGTTATGTTCCTGAATACATATAGGAACTGTCATTGATATACTGGCATTGATCCAAAGTTACAGATCCCACAAGATATGAAATGGTATTCTCTCCTCCATTAATTATTTATCATCTACATAATATCTCCTTTGGAGATTTAAATAACTGAATAAGAAAATAAAAATAAGAAAGGAACATTACAGCGTAAAATCTTGCTTTCAATAAAGCAGGATTAAGGTAAATTCCACCTGTCTTTTTCGTGTAAAGCAGATAACCTTGATGAGGATGTGGAGAATAGGGAAACTTCCTGCACTGTTGAAGAGAAAGTAAATTGGAGCAGCCAGTATGGAAAACAGTATGGAATGTTAAAGATAAAGTATTAAAGTATGGAGATTTAAAAATAGAAATACCATACAATCTAGTAACTCTACTATTGAGTATTTATACAACAAAAAAGAAAGTACTAATTTGAAAAAAAAAAATATATATATATATATATATACACCCCATTTTTAACCTAAGTGTCTATCAACAGGAGAATGGATAAAAAAGATGTGATTTATAGACACACACACACTGGAATATTTGGAATATTATTTGGCCATAACAAGAATGGACTCTTGCTATTTACAACATAGATGAGGCTAAAGGGTATTATGCTAAGCAAAATAAGTCAAACAGAAGAAGACAAATACCCTATGATTTCAGTTACATCTGTGATCTAAAAAAAAAAAACACAAATCAACAACAACAAAGCAAAATGGAAACAGACTCATAAATATGGAAAACAAACTGGTGGTTGCTAGATGGGAGAGCACATGGAAGGATGGGTGAAATAGGTAAAGGGGATTAAGGGATACAGACTTGTAGTTATAAGATAAATAAGTCACAAGGATAAAAAGTACAGCATAGGGAAAGTAGTCAATAATATTGAATGTAGTCAATAGCATTGTATGGTAACAGGTGGTAACAGGTGGTCACAACAGTTATCATGGTGAGAATTGAGTAATATATGGAACTATTGAATCACTATGTTGTACACCTGAAACTAATATAAGATTATATGTCAACTATATTTCAATAAAAAGTTGATAACTTCTTGGTAAGTGGTAAGAACACTAGGAACCTACTGCAAGCAACTGGTAGGCACTTGGTCTTAAGAAATCAAATAGAAGTGGGGCACCAGGGTGGCTCAGTTGATTAAGTGTCCAACTTTTGACCCTGGCTCAGGTCACAATCTTATGTCATGAGATCAAGTACCACTTAGGGCTTTGAACTGCCAGCACAAAGCCTGCTTGGGATTCTCTCTCCCTCTCTCTGCCCCTCCCCCACTTGCATGCACTTGTGTTCACTCCCTCTCTCAAAATAAATAAATAAACTTTGAAGAAAAAAAGGTTAAAAAATAATTTTTTTTAAATTTTAAAAAAGAAATGAAATAGAAATTTTACAAACAGATGCCCCCAAGTCTGCTAACAAGTATACTAAAATCTGAAAATGGGAACCCCAGTAGTGATCTTCCATCACAGGATTTTTTAAAGATTTTTTTTAATGTTTATTTATTTTTGAGAGAGAAAGAGACACACAGTGTGAGCTGGAGAGGGTCAGAGAGAGGGGGAGACAGAATCCAAAGCAGGCTCCAGGCTCCAAGTCGTCAGCACAGAACCCAATGTGGGGCTTGAAATCACAAACAATGAGATCATGACCTGAGCTGAAGTTGGCCGCCCAACTAACTGAGCCACCCAGGCGCCCCATATCACAGAATATTTTTTAAGCTGTAAGATATTTGCTCTGCATGTCTAAGAAGTTTTAGTCATAATTTAAAAATGGAAACTCGGCCTCCATCTTATTGATATATCCTCAGTCTGGAGGATAAAAAAAAAAATTACCATGCTTTTAAAAAAAAAAAAAGAAGAAAGAACCAAGTGGACATTACTTAGGTAAAGTAGTATGTTAACAAATAGCACTTTATTCTAGAGCTGAAGCCACTAATGATATACCCTGAGCACATAAGGTGCTTAATCAAACTGGTTGCTGCAGTGTTTGTTTTTTTTTAATATAAACATGGGTTATGCTTAAATTGTTCACGGTTTCTTCATTTTGATTTTTTTTTTCATTTGTGAAAGGATTTGAAGCAGTGGACAGAGATGTTCTTGGAACAGAAAATACTCCTACGTCATTGCATTCTGTTTTAGTGATTAGCAGGAAAAATCGGTGACTTTACTAGATGAATATAAATTAAGAAATATTTTTACATGAAAAAGAAAAGTGAAATGTAAACTTCAACTATTCCTAACTCTATGAGTGAGATGTCATTCTTGTGTGTTTCAGATTTCCAGTTTCCATGGTTCTTAATTATTATCTTTGGAATATTTGGGCTAACAATGATATTATTTTTATTCATATTTTCCAAACAGCAAAGGTAGGTGTGAAATAGTCTAATATTTAGATGTTTTTTCCAGTGTTTAGATTTCCATATGTGTTTCCATTTGTTACTTGATATTTTCTTTTGCAAATCATGAGTGAAAAATTTAATTAATCCAGTAAAATATTGTCTCTAGTTATACATTCACCACGTCATGTTCATCATAGATAATTCATGGATGTCTGTTCTATCTGGGAAGTTGTATAGGATACAAAAAGGCTGAGGCTAGTGACTGAACCTCCTTTGTAAAATCTTTACCTCTGAGCTGCCCCTTGACCTCTTCAGAGTCTTGAACAAGCAGGCCCATCCACTTCTAGAATAACAAGGTAGCACAGAACCTTTGGCAGAATTTAACACAGTCCTAGTATAGAAGCAACTTTAAGAGGCAACGAAAGCCACCTAGATAAGTCAATCTAATGTAACCATTTTAGACACCCTATGATGGCGATTTCAAGTAAATCTGTGTTTTCTTTAAATTACTAAATTTTATTTAAATTGTTACAAATGACATGAATTTGTAAATATGGCTACAATTCTTTCTAAGTTTGAGGAGATTCTGTTCTGTATTCCCTTGGTGTCGAAGACTTGGGTTCCAGTTACTATTCTGCTACTACTGTTTGATTATCCCCTTAATCTCTCCAGGCCACATGTTCTCATCGATAATATGAGGATGTTGAGTTATATGAACCTTAAATTTCTCTTGAGCTATACGAGCTATCACTCTATTTTTCTCCCTGAAGGAAATTCCATACAGACTTCAGGAAATTGTAATACAAAATATAGGAAAAGTTCCTGGTACCAGCTGCAAATTTTCTTACTTACAGAGTATTATTTAACTCCCCTGGGCTAACCCTGCCCCTTCTCCTAGAAGTAGGGTGACTAACACTCCTAAACAAAGTAGCAGTTTGCCTGGAACTTTCCTAGTTTGAGCACTGAAAGTCCTGTGTCCCGGAAAACCCCTCAGTTCCAGACAAACCAAGATGGTTGGCCATATTACCCTAGAACTGAAGACATGTTCTCCAGCTGAAGCCAAGAGGCATCTACAAATCAAAACAAGGTCCATGTGAACACATTGCAAAAGCTTTTTAATTAGAGTAGCATCTCCGGTTTTATAATGTAAACCAATACGAAAGCAGAACTCGTTCTGTGGAATTTCATTTTGCATCTGACTTTTTAACGGCATCTCTTTTACAAGCACAAGTATTATAAATCAGGACAATATAGTTTTCAGTTGTTGGAGGGAAAATAGTAAATAAATAAATAAATTTACAGAATTTTAGGCAATTTGTATATTTACATAATGCCAACAACAGAGGAATCAAATTATTCTGTTGATTAATTTGAATTCACTGATCTATGTAGTGCATTGGCTAATTTATATGTAAGTGCAGTAAATACACAGATTATGTATATAAAGTAATTCACTCTTAACATAAGCTGTCAGTTTTGAGTCTTTGCAAAGACCATGTAAATTTGTTATGTTGGTTAATTATATTAGCTACCAATATTTCAAAGAAAAAATAATTCTCTCAACAAATAAGATGTTAAAGAAAATATATTAACCTTTGCATAAAAGAGTTTTCTATGAATAAGGAAGCTCTTAACTTTGGTGCTTAGTCAGAATTACCAAATTATAAAATTGTTCTGAAATCTTTATTGTACTCTCAAATTTCCTGTAGTAAATAAGTCTTTATAGAAAAGAATTAGTTTTGTTCTTTCATTTGCCCATAAAAACCCTTGTCATGGTCTAAATTTCCATGTTCTGATGAAAGTAGGAAATAGGAGAAAACAGATGACAGCAGGTGTGGAAAGAACATGAGGTTCTAAAAATTAAAATGATCCTCCAAAGAATGAGGTTCTTATGTCAGCTTCCCCCAGAAGGTTAGGGCTCCAAGGGGCTCGGGTTCTACATTTTGTATGAAGTTTTGAGTCTGTGCCACTTTTCCCTTTCCTGATAATTAAGAATTATCTGGATTTATAATATAATTTGGATGTGAATAAAATGATGGCAAAGTCACAAACATAGCTTCAGGCCAGGTTATCTTTACTCTGTATTCGGTCATTCTCACCATAGGACTCATCCCAGCCTTTGAGCTATTACTAACTGGGAAAGAAAGAACTCAATCAGCATCAGACAGAAGTAGCAAACTGGCAATCTGAAAGCCAAGCTAAGGCTGCAGATCTTAATGTTTTGTTATTTATGTTACATTGATTTTGGAGTAAAAATTTTGCTACGAAATGTTTACAAGCTAGGGAATTGCCACACAAAAATCCAGATTTCCAGGTTATGTTTAAAATCTGAAAGATCTAGTGACATTCAGTTGATATTCCTGCATGGCAACATGCGCTGAAGCAGAGGACCAGCTGTTCCATTTGGGAAGGATATGTGTTCCCTGTGACCATTCCCATCCCTCCCTGGGACATTGCAGCAGGCCTGCTTCATTCATTTTATGACCTGCTTGAGCCCTATAGGCTGCAGGGTCTGTTACCCTGGAGTGAGTCAACCACAACCCCCAGAAAGCTAGCATGCAACCTAAATGCATTAAACTCTGCAAATCAAGAGGCACACATAACAAAGTCCAGCATTAGACATTTAAGGATCTTTGTTTCCTGCAATTACAATTGTGTTGTGTGACAGAAGACAAAGGGCCTGGGTTTTGAACTTAGGTACTTTGGATTTGAGCCCCAGCTGTGCCAAGTATTAGTGTATGATTTGAATACCTTCCTTAAATCTCTAAATCTTTCCACAGATAATATATCTGCCTCGCTGATAGTTATAAGAAGCAAATAAAATGTTTAGTGTGTGGTTGACAAATTTGTTTTCTAAAAAGGCCAGATAGTAAATTTTTAGGCTTCTGGAGCTGTACAATGTCTGACACAACCACTCAACTCTGCCCCTATGCCATGAAAATAGTCATAACAATGTGTAAACTAATAAACATGACTGCATCTCAATAAAACTTTAGTTATAAAAACAGAGAGCTGACCAGATTTGTCCCTCAGGCCATTATTTACCAGCCCATAGGTTAATGTGAAATATGTCTATCTTATGGTGTCTATTTTATCAGAGACATTAAAAAAATGGTAGCGTTACTATTAATAATTTATATTTTTTCTGTATCTTCTATTCAGCAGTAATAATCTGTTTTAACACTTGCTCCATTAAGTAAACCTAGTGGAGGCTACTTACAATTTAAAAAATGAAATTTGGCTTATTTCTTGGTTAGGTAAAAAGCAAATGGAAATATTCAGAAAATGGGTTCCCTATTGAATAGACTACACTACCCATTCACATTAAGTAGAATATCAGCTAATATCCAAAAAGCAGTTTATCATCTCTGCCTAACAGTGGTGCCTCTGACTCTTAGGGACTTTTAAAACAATAAATGAACTGACTGCAATAGCTAATCTCTGAGCTTTATTCCAGAGCTACAATGTTAATTTTAAGACACAAATTCTAGTTACACTATTAACAAAATTGATAAATGAGGTATTCAAGTTTGCTCAGGAAGTGTTTATTGAGTACCTTCTAAGTGCTAGGGATACAATAAAGTGCAAGACAGGCAGAATAGACATTGAAATGAATTATGATCAAGAAATAATTTAAATATTGGGAGCAGAAAATTTAAGCACATCATAGAATTGGGTATATAAATCCATATTGATCAGTTAGAGATAGTTCAAATTTAGTCTTTCCCAACTGAAATGAGGCCTATAATGGAACTTTGGTTTATGAGATCATCTTAGATAATTTAATGATTCACGTGAGCTGTGTGGCATGAACTTATCTCAATCCACCCCATTTTTTGAGGATGCAAATAATGTTGGCTTCATGTGAATCGGCCCTTCCTCCTTTCTTTTTTTTTTCTTCCTTCCTCTTCTCTGCAAATTACTGATGAGATGTACATTAAAATTACCACCCTTATAGATGAACTGGAAATTGGCTTCAGATAGAGTCAGATTTCTGATTCCCAAATACTGCTGCTGGCTGTCAATAAAGACAGAAGGAAAAAAAGATTATGTTTTATTTAAGTTGACTTCACATGAAGACTTTTTGTTGATTTTTGTTCTTTTTTTTCCTCTATAGTTTTTCCTCATCATTTACTGCTTACTGTTTTCTTTTTCATGTTCCACTTATATGGAATACCAGAATATTTGTAATAAGTAGTAGTTCTACCAATACTTGATTCCTGTCTTTGAAATACAAGAGTGTATCACTTTACAGATATGTCAAACCAACATTTTATTTGTTTTCAAGGATTAAGATGCTGATTCTTCCCCCAGTTCCAGTTCCAAAGATTAAAGGAATTGATCCAGATCTCCTCAAGGTACTCAATAAATTATCTGAGACCTAGATAACACTAATTAAATTTTACCTGAAGTATACTTTACTATGTTGAGAGTTTTTGCAAGCTATGTGTATCACATTCCTTTTTTTTTTTTTTTTTTATGTTTTATTTATTTCTGAGAGAGAGAGAGACAGCATGAACAGGGGAGGGTCAGAGAGAGAGAGGGAGACACAGAATCCGAAACAGGCTCCAGGCTCTGAGCTAGCTGTCAGCACAGAGCCCGACGCGGGGCTCGAACCCACAAACAGCAAGATCATGACCTGAGCTGAAGTCAGATGCTTAACCAACTGAGCCACCCAGGCACCCCTTCTTTTTTTTTTTTTTTTTTAACTCTCTGGATAAAGCTGTTTCAAAATAATGTATCTCTTAAAATTATGAGAATGTCTTCTGTATTTAAAAGTTCTACACTACTGTGTTTATTAAATGGTTTTGTTGCTATTGCTTTTATTGTGACCATAATCTTAGTCTCTGAATATTAGTTGTGAAAACCTTTCATCATTATGAGTTCCTTTTCATAGGTTTCATTTTCTTTCTGTTTCCTAGGAAGGAAAATTAGAAGAGGTGAACACAATCTTAGCCATTCATGACAACTATAAACCTGAATTCCACAACGATGACTCTTGGGTTGAATTCATTGAGCTGGATATTGATGACCCTGATGAAAAGACTGAAGGCTCAGACACAGACAGACTTCTAAGCAATGACCACGAGAAATCACTTAACATCCTTGGGGCAAAGGATGATGACTCGGGACGTACCAGCTGTTATGAACCTGACATCTTGGAGACTGATTTCAGTGCCAGTGACACATGTGATGGTACATCAGAGGTTGCCCAGCCACAGAAGTTAAAAGGGGAAGTAGATCTCTTGTGCCTTGACCAGAAGAATCAAAATAACTCCCCTTCTGATGCTACCCCTACCACTCAGCAGCCCAGTGTTATCCTAGCAAAGGAAAACAAACCAAGACCTCTTCTTATTAGTGGAACTGAATCAACTCATCAAGCTGCCCACACTCAGCTAAGCAATCCTACTTCACTGGCAAACATCGATTTTTATGCCCAGGTAAGCGACATTACTCCAGCAGGGAGTGTGGTCCTTTCCCCAGGCCAGAAGAATAAGGCAGGGATAGCCCCGTGTGACATGCACCCAGAAGTGGTCTCACTCTGCCAAGCCAACTTCATCATGGACAACGCCTACTTCTGTGAGACAGATGCCAAAAAGTGCATCGCTGTGGCCCCTCACGTCGAGGCTGAATCACGTGTAGAGCCAAGCTTTAACCAGGAAGACATTTACATCACCACAGAAAGCCTTACCACTACCGCCGGCCAGCCTGGGACAGCAGAGCGGGCTCCGAGTTCTGAGATGCCTGTCCCAGACTATACCTCCATTCACATAGTACAGTCCCCACAGCGCCTCGTGCTCAATGCGACTGCCTTGCCCTTGCCCGACAAAGAGTTTCTCTCCTCGTGTGGCTACGTGAGCACAGACCAACTGAACAAAATCATGCCGTAGCCTTTCTTCGATTTCCCACAAGCTACAAACTGAATGGTGAAGAGCTGGTTAGGGCATGAGTGCTTAAACCAAAACAATGTTTAAACCTTTTTTGGGGGGGAGGGGGGAGGGGAGAGCAGATTCTAAATGCCTTTTTCCTGAAATGTTGACACATAATATTACAAACGAAACAAGAACGCCTAATCAGATAGATATTCCTATTGTGAATTGTAAATATTTTAAAGAATTGTCTCAAAGACTGTTTAGTGGCAGTGATTGTCTTGTTAATGTGGGTGTTAATTTTGTGATACTAAGCATTGAATGGCTGTTTCTAATGTACAGTAAATTGTGCTTTTTGAAAAAGCGAAAAATCAGGTGGCTTTTGCAGTTCAGGAAAATCGAATGCAAATCAGAGCACAGGCTAATTTTTTTTTTTTTTTTTTTTTTTTAGATAATTGGGAATTGAAAGTAGAGGTAAGAAGGCAAAAAATAGTTTGGATATGTAAAACATTTATTTTGACATAAAATTTATAAAGATATTTTTAAGAATTTACACTACAAGCATGGCTATTTTATATTACACTACACACTGTGTACTGGAGTCCATGCAGACCCATCTGGAGAATGTAGCAACTGCACTCTGAAGCTGGTTTAATGCTTTGGTCGGTACACCTAAAGTAAAACAAATAAGCAAGTTAGTTTTTTACGAGGCCCTTTTTATACCTCCCACAACTCCTTAAGCAATTCTAACATGATTGTTGTTACCTGCATTATTGGAACATGCTTGTCTTATTTAAATTTTTAAAGATATATTTGTTAATTGAGAAAACTTAAAGATGTATGCACAGGTCTACTTAATGTGAACCAAACTAAACAAACAAAAAACTATTTCTTACCCAAATTTTGGTTCAGGTCAGAGAGCTCCCTTACTAAGAGAAGGAGAGGGTATAGCTGATCCATACTGACCGGCTCCTTAGGGTTATTGTTGCACACGTAGTGAGCGTTGAAGCAGGCAGATGGTGAGAGATGGCCCTAGAGTGTTGATGGTAGTATCTCTTCTAATACAATGTGATTCTATTACATAGTTACCTAAGGAGGGAATAAAGTCCAAGAAGCATTTTGTAAATTGAAGCAAATTGAAAATGAAGTTAACTGGATAATGGAATAAAAAGATCAAGAAATATACCCACTATCCAGTGTAACAAGAAAAGAAGAAAGAGATTTCCAATCCCCTCAGATAAGTCAAAATGTTCTTAAACCAGCTGTGGAAACTTTCTTCCTCACCCAACCCTTGCTGGGGTTTATTTAAAGGAGCAAACAAAGAAGTTTCTTCATTTTTTTATTTCCCTGAGTGGATTGGCCTCCACGCGGGTAGTCAGAAGAGAAAGAAGGGTCCCGAAGTAATGTTGTTATTGTTCAACATCATTCTGAGGAGCATTGGGATTGTTCCCCAAAAGGTTTGTCAAAAGAGAAGAATCTCATCTCACTGAAAAATGCTTCTCACTTTAAGTATTTTTTTTACATTTAATGAAACTTTAAAGTTAGCTTTAACTTAAATAGTATTTGCCATTTAGCTCAGACCTTTTTAGGAAACAGGCTTAATGGTTGGTAATTTTAAATTCCCTCTTTCTTGCAGGAAGGACAGTGAAAAGTAGAACTGGGTGTTCCAAGTTCAACATGTTACTTTGTAATAGGTGTTTAATAATAGATCTTTTCGGCTACCTTGCTGCTATGGTTTTCTCTAAGAGCTACATAATTTAGTTTCATATACAATTTCATCAATGTAGAACCTAATTCAACTTAAAACTGTGTGCTTGGGAAAACTATCTTACCATTTCACAATAGGCTCACAACAATTTCTATAGCCAAAAATAGCTAAATACCTCAATCGGTCTCAGAATGTCATTCTGGTACTTTGCTGGCCACACAAGCCATTATTCACTAGTATGACTAGTTGTGTCCTGCAGTTTATATTTAACTTTCCTCATGTCTGTGGATTTTTTCCCTTCAAAGTTTAATAAATTTATTTTCTTGGATCCATAGTGGCATGCTTCTGTTGTCAAACACCCACATGAAAGGCACCCTACCCCAGACCACATGCTCTTCAGTTCTTCTCACTGGAAGGAGAGCTTAGCACAATTAGCTTAAACACGTTGGCAATGGATGTGGAGATTTTTGTTATGTGCTGGCAGCTCCCTCCCTCTCTCTCTCTCTCTCTCTCTCTTTTTTTTTTTTTTTTTAGGAAGAAGGAGCCCAGCTCAAAATTATTATTCCGGCTTGCCTGGACTGTGCCTTCTCCTTGGCTGTAACACCTCAAGCCTGGAGGCTCGTACAGCCATGTTTTAGACGCAACATAGCGTGTTTGACAGGAGGAATCGGGAGAGTGAGGAGGAGAAAATGGTGCCTGTGTTGCAGGATTTGTTATTTTACCTCAATACCCCGGTTCGTTGTCTCGCCACTTCAAAGAATGACACAAAATAAAATGAGCAGTAGGCAAAAGTGTATTAGAGTATAAGATCAGAAAGTAAAATTAGTAGGAAAGCTCTGTCTACAGAGAGGGGACATTCGAAAGTGAATGTCTGTGGACTATAGGCAAGGGTCTTTGTTTTATAAGGGTCTGGTCAGCACCCCTCCCCCTTCCCCCTTGTTCCTTCTCAGGTCCCACCCTTCCTGGCTGGATAACTCCAGGTGCTGGATTGTCCATTCCTGACTGGCTCCATCATTGTATGAGGGGTGGCCTATGGCTATACCGTTCCTTGTGGGTCATACGTTTTATGGTCTTATTTCTAGCCAGGTCTTCTGTCAAATTCCTGAGGGGAACCTGAGGGGGAGTAGGTGGTGTCTGTTACATTCTTAAGAGAAGCCTTAAGCCCAAGGAGCTTTGCTGTGGTCAGACGCTCCCAGCATTGTTCCAATATATGTGCTTTTTCCCCACTCAGGTACCTCAGGTTCTAACCTCTCCTTCTCTGCCTGTTTTGTCCTATCTTTCCCCTATCACATACAATGTGGCTTGAAGCTACATTTCTAGCTGGAGCATGTTGCCTGGGAGGAGGGAAGACAGCTCCTCTGTTCCATGCACCCACTGGTACATGTCAGTCTGTCACACGAGCTACTTGTCATCATGGGAAGGACATAAGTCAGGCCTGCATGGGGAAGCCAGGTAGGTAGGTTGTATCAGAACCTGAGGGAGCAGTAAAGCCATGAAGCTTAGATTCCTCAGGAGACAGGTTCCAGGTGGGTTAACTAATAAATCACAGTCTCTTGTGCAGGCGCTGAGTCCTGAGAAGTGAGAATGGAGTGATAGCATGGAGAAGCCCACTGAACAATGATTTATTGCTGTAGCAGGTGGAATGCAAACTGCCACAACTTTACATTCCACGAGAGGGCTTGCATTCAATACAGAAATAAAAATTCTCTATTTGCTGCCTCTGCCCTTTGAACAGTTATTACCTGAAAGAACTTTGGGTGAAGGAAGCCTACTCCTTCCTTTGCATATATGGCTTAGAAAATCATTACTCTTCTGTCACTAAGATATTGGAACATACACTGCCTTAACATTAAAAAACAAAACCCTACCACTTGAAGCACGAAATGCTTATTTCTTACATATGCTATGGAAAACACAGCCTTGTGGGTTCCCACAGTGGGTCCCCAGTTCCCATCCCATTAAGTGAAGGCTTACCAGTCTTGTGGGGGCGCTTCAAGGTATCAGGAGTGAAGGGGAGAGAAGGCCTGTTTACTTCCTTGGGTTGAAAGAGCACAGCCCTTTCTATGACAGACATTAATGTCCTGTTGAAAATGGCCACACGTGTGTTTTTCTGTATTTAATCTTCTCATTGGTTCTACTCAGACATACTAACACTGAAGTTTGTTCCCATTACATATTTACATAGCTTTACACCAAAATATTAAATGTTTGTGTTCTCTGCTTACGGTAAGAAATGGGGGGGAGGAGGGGCAGGGTTGCACTTTTCTTTTTTTTTTTTTTTTAAAGAAATTTTTTTTTTTTTTTTTATTTCTAGGAGAGAGAGAGAGATGGCGCGAGCAGGGGAGGGTCAGAGAGAGAGGGAGTCACAGACTGAAACAGGCTCNGACTACTTATATATTTTGATGATTGGTTCAGCCCTACTGGTATAGATTGGCTTGGGATCATCCTCATTCATTTTTTTTTTTTTAATTTTTTAAATGTTTTTATTCATTTCTAGGAGAAAGAGAGACAGCGTGAGCAGGGGAAGGCCAGAGAGAGAGGGAGTCACAGACTGAAACAGGCTCCAGGCTCTGAGCTGGCAGTCAGCACAGAGCCCGACGCGGGGCTCGAACCCACGAACCGTGAGATCATGACCCAAGCGAAAGTCGGACGCTTAACCGACTAAGCCACCCAGGCGCCCCGGGTTGCACTTTTCTTAAATCCAAATGCTTTAGTTTAGAATCCAACATCTACATAATTTGCCCAGTCTCCTTTGCTAGCTTAATGTAAAGGCTGTGCATAAAGAGTACAGCTCCTGAATAAGAATTTGACCTTTGGTTAACATTCAAGCTCTGTTCTTTTGGAAATCTAAGAAGTGTCTTATGCCAACTATATTAACTTAGCCAATTAGCATCTCTATGTCTTTGCCTATTCCCCTTCCTGCATATGAAAATCTCCCAATTACTAAAGCTGCCAGTTGGAATTTCTCTCATCCTTCATGGCCCACCTCAAATGCCTCATTCTTGCAGTCCCCAGTTCCCATCCCATTAAGTGATCATTCCCCTCTCGAAACCATTTTTAATGGTGTTTATAACACTCTGGTTATGAGCTCTCCTAACAACCATGTAAGACAGGTGATTTACCAACATGTATTCTGAGGCATAACTGTTCTCTAAAATGTTCTTAAATGAGTAATTCTGTGGTCACATAAGTTTGAAAAACACCTTATACTACACTTCCCTCTGGGAGAGCCAGTGTGCCTATTGACGTTTTAAAACTTCTACAAAACATGTGCATGCACGCACACACATGCACACAAGCGTGCATGCAAACACACACTTGTTTCGTTTAACACATCATATCCTACTTTATTTAACAGCAAAAAATATAATGGTGAAAGAGTATCCATTATTATGTCTATTAACACTTGGGAAGAGCTGCTCTGAGAATTCACAGGCCTAACAGAAAATGAAGTTATAATAAATTTCAGATGAATGCGATTCTCAACAAAGCATCTTTATGCAATGCCATTAAACTTGGTTTCTCAGCAACACTTGTCATATAAAAGGCAACGCAGCTACATCTTCAAAATCACCACAGATTTTTCACAATTCAGATACGTTCCTTGTTTTCATATATGCCATGACATCTTCTAAGAGCTTTGAGGTCTTAAAGCATTTGTTGTCCTCTCTGTGACAAGGACTTTCTATCTCCTTGCTGAAACAGAAGTTGAATTTCCCACGTCTTCAGCTGGAAGACTGGAGGAGCATGGTTAACACATGACACTTACCAACATCAACAAAATTCTCAGTCTTATTCGTGCACCTCGTTTTCTATAAACTAAGGTTTATAACACAGTAATGCTTATATCACTCTCACAAAAAGGAGCATATTTTGTGTCTGTAAACCTCCAAAACAATATGTATCTGTTATTACCTGAAAAAAATAATTCATTCCTTACTGCTCTCTGCTGAGTTAAAAAAAAAAAAAAAAAAAAAAAAAACCCAGACGGAACTTCAAACATAATAAACTTTTGCACAGTAGGACCCAGGAAATAGTCTTTGTAGGACATATAGAAAAGCAATTTTCTATTGATTTTTTTTTTAAAGAATCTGTACATGATTGTTCTGTGGGCATTAAGAGATTTTACCAATATTTTCTGTAGGCATGAAGTCACTTGTCAGGAAATCACATGCACTTTGTATTTTTTTATTATAGTATCCTTGGGAAAGCCGAAGTAGAAAGATTGGTAATGTTAGCTCTTTTAAAAATAGTACCAAATGATAAAAATGATTTGCATAGGATTTTGATTTCATAAAGCACTGTCATGTATATTATTCCACTTAAACGTAACGAATATATGTTGTTTTACTTTTAACATTTTACAGGAGAGAAGACCAAGGCTCAGAAAACATAAGAGGTTTTTCGAGAGTTAACTCACTAGTAAGAGATAGAACCAGGACAAAAACACAGAACTCCTGACTAGTCCAGTATTCTAAAAACAGGGAAGCTGATAACATTTCTTGATGAGCGAGGAGGGAGCTTCTGATCCTATTCATAGTGTGGAGAAAATGGAACACAGTTTTATAATCTCCATGGATCCGAAGAACCACCTGCTAAAGATAAAATGTTCTTTTTCTGATAACCATAACCAGTGGCATGTAAGTAAATGTTTAACAATCCCTCTGGGGAAGAGAGGGCAGGTCAGATGTGTAACATTTGCCAATTTCCATTGTGTAAATACTCCCAATGTAGCTGATTTTAAGCTATCAGTTTCGTCACTGAACACAAAATTGGGAAGAGATTGTACAACAGGCTCTCATGAGACTGTGTGAACCGGCTCTAGCACGCCACTGAGTCTACACAACTTTATTATTAATTCCATCTAATGGATGACATTTTTAATAATGAGTAGACCACATTTCTAGCTAACATTCATTAAGCACTTATTATGTGCCAGGTGCCGTTCTAAGTACTTTACCTGCATGAATTTGATCCTTACAACAATCCAATGAGGTAAATTCTGTTATTCCCAGTTTACTGATGTAGAAACTGAGGCAGACATAGTTGAATGAATTTGACCAAAGTTGCAAAATTAGGAAATATTAGAGCCAGGATGCAAACACATGCACTCTAGCTCCAGAGACTATGCTCTAAACTCGGTGCTCACCACCTTCCAGATGCTAATTGTGTCCAAATTAGATGTACATAATGAAACAAAAGTCAGCCAACTACCAGCACTTACAAATCCAAGCATAGTTCACATTCAGTATCGCAAATCTTTGCATAACACAGCATCATCCTCCCGGACCCTCAGGGATGATCATCCAGATTCATATCTGGGAAAAA